TATAATTGGTGGTATAAAAGGACTGAAGCAATTTCTGTGAAATGCCAGGAGCTTAGAATCCAAAATAAGGATTTTAAATGGAACACTGGACATGTTAAATTACTAATTAATCCTCTAACAAATCATCTTTGATTTAACCCTTGGGACAGTGATTTCCAAAGTATCTTTCTCAAAGTCTTGGAATTTCTGAAGATATCACACAAAAGAGTATAGAGAGTGTTGTTTTACAAGGGAGAGGAAGCTAGGGGAGTGATTCTAGTCTCATTGCTTGGGGCTAGTATTTGAATGTTGAGTGGTACAGGAAGACATACTAGGGGCCAGCCAAATAGCTCAGTGAATTAAAGCACCTGCAAGCAGGCTCAGGGGCCAGGAGTTCGATCCACAGGCCTGTCTGCTGGCCCCGCCCCCGGGGCACCCTGAGATGACAATTGAGACTGGGTGTGGTGGCATGCACCTGAAATCCCAGCTCTTGGGAGGCTGTAAACAGGCAGATTACTATGAGTCTGATCTAGTAGTGAGACCCTGAACACCCTGAAAAAAAAAAAAAAAAAAAAAAAAAAAAAAAAAACTTCCACAGGAAGACATACTAGGTCTCCGTTATTGTTATTTTTAACTATTTTGTTTTTAATGGAGCTAAACCAGGGAGAACAGGTAGAGATAGCAGACAAATTCACCATAAATTAGCCATTAGTGGAATGAATTAGTCATTACTGACTCCAGCCTATAAGCTTGTTTTGTAAAATCTATAATAGCTACCACAATCACTGCTATTCTGACTACTATAATGTACTGAGTGATTTTATTGTGTGCCAGGAATGAGGAGATGGGTTTAGTGATAAGTAAGATGCCCAAGGCCACAGAGATAGCACATGGTAGCACTTCACTTACAAGCAGAAAACAGAATAAACTCAAGGAAGTAAAGTGGTCAAAGATCAATTGCTTAGCAGTCTTAAGGAACAAGGTTAAATTTTGACCAACAGATGGCACCAGTGCGTGAGCTTGATGGCCTGCTCTAGGCTGTGTCTGATTTGGGAAATCCTATCTGGGGCTTAAGTCTGCTTTGACTCTAGTTGAAAGAGAAAGTAAAGAAAAAGCCATCATTTGCTCTTCAGTACATTGACATGAGCCTGTCCCCTTTGTAGGTCAGGAAAGACACAGTGAAGTGGGCAAGTGAAGGAAACATAGTGACTTTGCTAAGAACTGTTTTGAGAACCAAAAATACTTTTCCTTCAACATTTCCTGAGCACATGCTTCATACCTGGCAATGTATGCGCTGTGATTTGAAGTCATACAGGAGGATCAAACACAACTCCATTTTCCTGCATAGAAAAGAATGCAGAACAGACACAGAGTGCAGGCCCAGCGAGTGAGTGAGACGACCAGGGCCACGGGATCCTAAACAGACCCGGAGCGCAGGCCCAGCAAGTGAGTGAGACTTCCCGGGCCCAGGGATC